CAAGTGCCAAGTTAACAGTTGGACTCAAGGATCTCAAAGGTCTTTTCCAATCCAAACAATTCTATGATTCTGTCTCTCCTCCTTGGCATGGGGCATCAGAATGTTTAGGTCCTTAAAAACAGGTTTGTTGAGACAGATGGAGATGCCAGTGCAGGGGATGGCCAGAGCAGAGCCAAATGACCACCAGCTTTGGTGACAGGTGTTTGCCTCAGGAGTGTGTGTGAGATTTGGGCACAGTGCAGCCTGGCAGGGCAGTGGCCTGTCCCTTCCTGCCATCCCACTGTTGCTTGCAGCATCTCCACTGCCAGACCAGCTGTAGGCAGGGTTTTATACTCTGAGAGGGTTGAGTTCGTGCCACCATGAGTCTGTCAGTGGGCTGGAGAATTTCACCACCTCCAGGAGGTTTCAATTCTTGCTGCTTCTACTCTACAACTATTAATCAACTGCTCAGTTATCAATGATTTAGACCACACTGTTGGCTGGACACAGCCCTTTGCAGATGGCAGCTCTCCATTTTGCTCTTTGTTCCTGGACACAGGTTCACTCTTTTCACCTCTCCACGTCAGTGGTGACATGCCTCTGCCCCAGATCTGGCATGGTTGGTATGGAAGTGGGGGGTTAGGAGCCAAGGCCAACACTTGCACACCAGCCCTGCACCTGCTGTGTGGGCTCAGCTTTGCCAGGGTAGTGACCCTCATACAAAGTTGTTAGGATGAGTGCAAATGAGTTTGGCTGCAGAATAGCCTGTGTTGCTCTGTGCAGACTCCACTCTTTGTATTGCCTCTTCATCTGACCCTCCATCCACTGTCATGTAGTTCTAAATTCACTATTTACAATTTTTTCAGTCCATCCTCTCAACTCAGGCTAGGGAAATGCAGTCCTATCCCATGGGCAGGTTCAAGGCTGCCCATTCATAGGCTGCTCTGAACAATGGCAGCACATCAAAAAGGGTTCTGGAGGGGTAAGAGCTGCTGCAGGATTTCTCACTGCACAGCATCCCTGGAGCTCTGGCTCAGTTGGCCAAAGCAGCTCTTCTCCCTGTGCCCCCTGCTGCCACTCATGGTCCTGCCTAATGTTTCTGGGAAGAGGATTTACACAGAGTCATAGAATCATACAATGGTTTGGATTGGAAGAGACCTTAAAGATCATCTGTTTCCAACCCCACTGCCATGGACATGGATGCCACCCACTAGATCAGGTTGCTCATCTAGACCAAATTTCCTCCTAAGTGTCTCATCATGTGTTGGTGGGTGGCCTGGCTTGCTGCGTGCCCAATCTGTCCCTGCTGTGCTGTGGTGTCCATGCTTCCTGGCAAGGGCTGTCGGACTTGCTGCAGAAGCTGTCCCCTGCCACAGGGGCTCCTGGACGTCACTCAGAGCATCCAGACAACCCTCCAGGCCCCTCAGCACACACACACACAGGGTGCCTTTCCGTGTGCTGGCATAGCTCTGCTGGGTCCTGGCAGAGAATGCAGGGCAGCAGGACACAGGGAGGTGCTCTGCCTGCCTGTGCCCCCTTGCTGGGATGAGGCTGTGAGATCATACATCCCTGGAGCTGGCCTTTCTCCTCTGGACTTGGCTGGAAGGAGGATTTGAGCCAAGCCTGGAGCACAGCCCTGCTGTGGCTGCTGGTATAAGGCTGCAGTAAAACATTATGAGCTTTTAATGGGGCCAACCTGTGTTGTAAAGCTGTCACTGCTAATGGAGACCATCTCTACTTTGAGTGGCACAGCTCCCCTTTCCGTGCCGTGGCTGGAAGAGCTGGAGCTGAGCAGAATGGAGGGTGATACACAGTATGGCAAAGTTAGAAAACTCACTGCTGAGCAGAACACTCTCAGCCTTTCCCCACATTTCCAGCTGGATCCCTCCAAGCAGTTTATGCCTAAGAGAGCACGCGATTCCTCCACCCCCACATGGCAGCCAGGACAAAGCGCTTGATACATCATAAATATTAGTGCCTGGCCCCTTGCCAGTCCCAGTCAGAGAAATCATCTCAGCCATTAATCTGAACGTGCAAGCTGCATCTGGCAAAGTGGTGCTTCGTGTCACCCATGCTCAGTTGTGTCTGCAGTGTTGCAGTTCATACTTGCTTTAAAGAAAAATTTAAAAAAAAAAGAAAAACAAGAAAGGAAAAGAAAAAAGGAAAATAAGAAGTATTTGATTCTTACTGGGTCTAATTTCTTAGTGAGTGTTTCCTGGGGTCTCTGCTGGCACAGCATGGGACTAGTGTGCGGGGGCGAGCCCAACACAGGGAGCCTCTAATGAAGGGCAGGATGGAGAACCCAGCGTGTTTGTGTAAATAAACAGTGTGTCTCCATGCTGGGCTTCTTGTGGCGCTGGCATCGCTGCCTGGCACCACAGCTGCACTCGTGCCCTGCTCCCTGCTCGGCCAAGGCTTTTGGGGATGGCCAGATGCTGCCGCTGGGCAGCACCCTCTGGGTTGCATGGGGACCCTCTGGAGCTTTTCACCTGTTGGGGTGCTGGGGCGGGCAGGGCTGGGATTGGAGCTTCCTCCAAGCTCAGCTTTCATTCTCCGCTGTGATTAATTGCAGTTGGCATTCATCTGTAATTTTAGAGAACAATCGGATGGCGTGCCTCACAGCTGATTTAATTGAAACCTGACGATGCGTCAGAAGGCTGCTGTGCACTGGGCGTAGTTGTGCTGGGATCCCCCTGGGAACCCCTTCCCCTCTTCCCAGCTTTGGCAGTACCTTGGAGGGCTCAGGCTCCCCCTGCGTTTCTTTGGGGCTGAGCTTGTGCTGTACCTCTGAGGTCTCCTTGCCCTGGAGTTTTGTGACCAGTCTGGATATTCTCAAGTGCAGTAGCATCAAGGTTTTGGGGTTTTGCCCTGCTGTGGTATGGGCCACTGGGGAGGTTTGGTGTATTTGGGACACATCTTGTTCCTTGTTGCACAAATCTGCTGCTTTGCTTATTCACATGCTTGAGTTGCACTGGCCATTTCTAAGGCAGTTTGGAAGCCTGGGGGAAATTGCTTTCAGGTCAAGACCTGCTTTAGCCTGTGGTGAATTACTGCGCCTGGGTTTTAAATCTTTGCAAACAGAGGATTATGGTGATGGTAAATACTAGGTAGACCTGGGGATTGCCGTACTGCCAGATGAAGGGAGCATGGCCTTTCCCTTTAGCAGATAGAGCATGATGGATGTTAAAAAAATAAATTGAGATACAGCCTGGGTTGTATCTTAGATACTATTTCTCCTTGATTTATATTTCTGCTTGGATGCTTCTCAGAGTAAGCAGTATATTTCTTGCTTAACCTCACAGGGCCTTTTCATTCTTAAATGAGGACAGCGTGGTAGGTATGACCAATTGCCAAGAGCCCTGGATTAGTGCAAGATCTGCAAAAAATTCAGAGCTGCTGTACGGCCTAGCATCTGCTTGAAACACAAATGCCAAGTGATGAGCATGTTTGAAATGGCGAAGCTGCGCTCCCATGCCAGGCAGTAGCTGCTGGTGCCTGGCTGTTCTCTGGGTCTCTAGTCCCAGTGGTGGCTTTGGGGGCTTAAAACAGAGCAATGCCTCCTGCTCTCAGCAGCCCAGTAGTAGCCAACAGCCTATCCTGAGCATGAGGGAGTGAGGAACCGTAGTGGTGGGAAGGCTGGAGTGTGGGCACTGCCCCGGTGACACCAGCCTGATGGGAAACCCTGCCCATAGGCATGGCAGATGCAGGCAGCAGAAGGTGAGGGCAGGCAGGGCTTGTCCTCCTGCCTGCAGGAACTGGGCAGGAGGAAGGATGAGGGCCTGGTTTGCTAATTGCTGTGGAAGTGGTGGTGACAGGCAGGTGTAGCCTGCAGGGAGCTGTAAGGGCACTTGTTCATGATGAGTGGGGCCGAAACAGGTTGACACAATCCAATTAGTGCCGAGTGCTAAGCAACCTGGCCAATTTGCTCTTGGCTTTTATAACACATATAAATAGCGGTGGCATTACATAATGCCACAGGGGATGGCTCCACTCCACTCACAGTCCCTGAGGAGGGCTGAAGATGCTCATAGCTTTGCCTGTGGCTGGGGGAATCCATCTGATGGTCTGACCTGCTGCAGTGTTTGTGTTTGCTGCATTGTACTGGGCCTGCTGCAATCCATACAGCATCCCCAGATTCACATGGGACAAACAGCCTTGACAAGGCACATCTCCTGCACCTTCTCCCAGGCAGCATCTCCATCCATCAGTCTCATGTCCTGCAGCGGAGATAGGTGACAAATTTGGGCAGAGGCTTGACCCTGTTGTTGAGCTCAGGCCTGGCCTTGGTAATGATGTTCTCCAGTCTCTCCTTGTTCTTGATTTCCCACTGCAAGTGGAAGATGCTTCTATGTCTGCATAACTCTCCTTATCTCTGACCACCAGCAAGAATAAAGTCTTCCAGGCTGCTGCAGATTACCAGCCGTGCTGTACAGGCAGGGCTCTGTAATTTCTGCCTCTGGGGAAGGCTGTGGCAACCTGCTGGGAGCTAATGGGCCTGTGCAGGTGATCCTGGAGGTGTCATGTGGCTGCCTGATGTCTGTAATGGGAATTGCTCTGGTTTGTCAGGCCAGGGATGGCTGCTTTCTGGGCTTGAGGTGGGAAACACTCATGGAGTTGGCAGGTTTTCCCAGTAGCAGAAGTGAGTGTGGGGTTTTGTGTGGCTGCTCCTGCAGAAGACTGGGTTGAAGTTGCTTCTTGTTTTTGTCAGTCATATGGAAAAACAGTCTTCTGGAAGGAAGGAGGGAGTGGATAGAAGCAGGAGGTCACCAGAAAGTATTGCTGAAGTAAATCATGCCTAAAATACACAGTGGTAAAGGCTCTCGTGATGGTTGAAGGTCAGTAGCTTCATGCAGAGGTTGCAGCTGGATTGGTTTTACCCTGACTTGGCTGAGTCTTGCCCATGGAGCTGAATGCTCACCATGCACCAAATCCTCGCGGGGAGCAGTTCGTCAGGTAGCCACTGCTAATCACTTGTTACAGTTTTGTCTTATATAGCTGACTTTCCCCCTTTGTGCTTTCAGAAATAACACAGATCATCCAGGTAGACTTGGACCTGAAGTACAAGACCAACATCCGAGACCTGTTTGATGAGTTTGACAATTTCCCAGAGGGAGCAGTCATTGGAATTGCCAGGGAAATGCAACCAGTGTACAGGTAAAGCTCCCTCCCTATGGGGATCAGGGTGTGGGCAGTGGGTGGCTGGTGTGTCTTTTCTTCAACTAGGGCTTCTAGGGCTAAATGGTCTTCCTGCTTTAATCCCGGCAGGGGAACTTAATGTGAAACTTGTAGGTAGGTATGAGCAAAGTGTACAGTGTTGCTGTTGTTTGTTTACTTGTTCTCACACACCGTCACAAGGCTTTCAGAGCCAAATTCCTGGTTGTTGGTGCCAAAATCCATACCTGAACTGTAGTACATCTGCTAGAGGCATTGTTTGCCCAGCCATGCCTGCTGAGGGGCTGTGATTGCATTCTGGAGCATCGGTGTGTGTGTTGGGGCTCAAGGGTTCGGGCTGTGAAGATTGCAGAGAGTAGGGGTTGAGTTTGGGCAACAATGAGGTTCTGGGTCCCTGGAGTGTGAGTGCACCTTCTGCTTCCCTCAGGGAAGGCCGAACTGACAACTCTGTTGGTGGCCTGGACTTGCAAGCATGAGGGTGACCCCATGGTCACTTGCTCTTCAGACCCTTGGTCCACCAGCCAGTGATTGGTGGAAGCTAACGGTGGGAATCACTCACTGAGGGGAGGCTCAGTCCTTCCCAGTCGTGGACCACTGGTGGGTTTCAGGGACACAGATATTTCCAGGCTAGCGCTTAAAGAAATTGGTTTAGTTTAGCCTGCATTATTCCAAGGATGAACCTCAGGTTTTGTTTTAATCCAAAGTAAATCAGATAATCAACTCAAGATGCCTTAATGGCTTCTCAGATGAGCTGAGTTTGAGCATCTGAGGTGACTTGGCTAGATTTGCTAATGCTAATGGAAAATTTCTTGGAGAAAGACAAAAAAGTTGAAGAGCTCTGTATATCTTTTCCTTCCCTACTGAAAGCCTGCTTCCTTACTGAACCTCCTAAGACATGACCAGCCGCACTCTTAGGCAAAGGCTGAGCTGCAAAGATCTGAAGCAGCCGTTCTTGTTTCATGTGCATCCGGATGGGATGAGGGTGGAGACAGAGAGAAGTTCATCAGCAGGGGATTGATGGTCATTAATGACCACCAGTCACTTCCTGGTAGCCTAAGTCAGCTGAGAGCGTGAGGTTGCTCAAATTACAGAAGTCACCACTGTTCCTGGGCTGGAAAAAGATATCTCTGTGTCCATATCAGAAGTGTCACCTCCCCTCTTGGTTTGTACTCTTGGCAAGGAGAGCTGGGACTAGAGGAACAGGGATGCTGAGGTCTTGTTTCCATAGCGTGGGAGCATGGAGGGCTCCTGTATCTGCTTTGGGTGTGCTGGCAGGATTTTGGTGCCCAGAATGGTAAATCCAGCCCCAGTTAATCACATCCAATTGTTAGAGCTTAAAGGGGGATGGAGGGAGCAGCCACAGCCAAGTGTGGCCGCGGGGCTGTTGCAGTGTCAGCCTCGGTCAGCGCTGCCCGGCAGGGCCGGTCCCGTTCGTTAGTGCTGCAGCCTGGAACAGGATAAATCAGCCGTTTGTTTGCCTGCAATTAGTCCATGGCAGAATCACTGTTTTCATCTCTGCAGGGTTTTGCATTATTTCCATGCATGACTAGGGAGTGGGGATGGTGTTCCGCTGCCTGGATGTGGTTTGTGGGGCCAGGCATGCCTGGAGGGGACCGAGTTAAGCTTTGGGGTGCTCTGCTGGAGAGCCATTCAGCATGGCAGGGGACAAGGCATGGGATCACGGGGCTGAGCGCTGAATACCTGACCCAAGCCACAGCCGTGTTCTCCCCCTCCTGCCGCCTGTGGTGGGGACAAACAAGCCAAGCAATAACAGCCCTCACAGGCTGCATTTTTGGGCTGAACTTTCTGTTGTTGCAGTTTTGACGTTCTGGGTCACTTTGGGCTATGTTGTACTTTTCTTCTTGCGTTGTTTTGATCTTTGTGTGAAAACAAGTTCCTGATCCTCCTTGTCGCCAGACCACCCGTGGCGGGGCGAGCCGTGCAAACGCCAGGCTGCCCTCCCGCCGAGCCCTGCGCCCCGCGGGGCTCGCACCTCGCTGCTAAAAGGGTTTCCAGACACAAACACGAACTGACAAAGCATGACTGTCTTTGTAAAAAAAAAAACCAACAAAAAACTTTGCTATTTTTATACTTTCAGCAAGATAAAAACGTGTTGTAGGTGTGAAATTATTGGTACCAGCTCCAGCCGTGTGGTTTACCACGTGCGCAGGCTTGAAGCATCACTTGGGAAAGGGGTTTTGGGTTGGAGGGGGGTTACGGGGTAATGGTGAGGTCTCTCTGTTGGCACTCATGTTTTCCTCCCTATTTCACGCAGCTCTCTGCAGCACCAGCTTTGTCCCAAAGCACTAAGAGGGTTTAGGGCGAGTTAGCAGAGCTGTCCTGAGCTTGCTCACAGAGCTGTAAACTCGCAGCCCTGGGGCAGGGTAAGCCAGTGTCTGGGAAGGGTCTGGGTGCCATGTTTCCCTCTCTGTAGCAATGGAGAAGATGGATGGAGATCAATTGACTTGGCTGTGTTGGATCCTTGTTACCTGCTTGGCCCATCAGAGAAGGCAAATGGGTGTGTTTTGTAGCTGGTGCCCTGTTTTCTGGGAAGCAGCACTGTTCCTGTTGGCTGCCTGGCTGCAGGCTGTACTTTCTAGGCACAGGTTGGGGCTGCAGAAGGCTTGGGCTGCAGCACTGCTGCACCGAGCAGTGCTGGGCACAGACGCTCACGGGAAACAGAGGAGAAAGAGAACAGAAAATCGGAAACGTCCCGGAGCCTGTCTGCACATCCTGAAGGTAGGGGAAACCTCCAGACAGCAAAACAGGATGGCACGGGAGTGTTTCCACTCGCTTGACTCATGCTGAAACAATGCCCGGCCACTGTTTGTCTTGGACAAATGCATTTCTCTGAGCAACAGGATCTCCTGGTCCTCCTGCAAGGCCAGCACTGGGATTTAACTGTTGCACAGTCTGGGCTGGCCTGTCCCTTGGGTTGCTCAGGGTGGGTCAGAGTGGCCTGTGGAGAGCAGTAGCTCCTGCTGAAGCTGGACATGGATCACCCTGTGGTGTCTGGCAGGGCGTCCTGGATGCAGAGGGGGAGGTGACAGGAGCCCAGGTCAGGTGCAGGAGGTGATCTGAGGTCTGAGGCCATCAACGTCAGGTTTACTTCTCTCCAGCTGTGGCAGGGGAAAGAGGCACTCTGTCCGTGGGTCAGGCATGTTGTCCTTCCTGCAGCTTTTGGATCTGATGTGTGATATAGGGTGTGGTCATCACCTCTGTGGATGGGGCTGCAGACAGAGCTTTGTCCCACAAGAGGCTGCCCCCCACAGTGGGTTGTTGAGGACACAGGTACTGTGCACTGGGCTCCTAGATGCCTGTGGACTTTCCATGGCAGTGCTGGATGCCTCCTGCCAGGCTGACATTTGGGTGTAGGCCTGCAGGCAGAGCCTCTTCCCAGGCTGATGTGTGCCTGCTCATATGTCTGCCTACACAGGATTCACACTGCAGCCAAGACTGGGAGCTCTGGCTTCAGTGAGAATGATTTTGATGGAAAGACTAGAATCTGCAGCTGAAGTTTGCATGGTCCAAAAGGCTTTCCATGCAAGGAAGTGCTTCTGCAGAGTCATAACCTTAATTAAAAGTCCTGTTGTCCCCTCCAGCATTTCAGCTGCTCAGCCATGCTGGGAGTGTCCTGCTCACCAGGCTACAGGGGGTGAGTGATGATGCTCTGTATAAATATTTATGTTGCAGAACCTGGCCAAATTGAGGAGCCCAGGCTCGCTCTCTTTAGTCCTGCTAAGAAATGTGCAGGCAAGTGTTGCAGATGCATCCTACAAGACAGTGAGCAGGTGGCCAGACAGGTCACTGTCCTCAGGGTGTGTGCAGGGTGTGTGCCTGGCCTGTGGAGTGGCTTAGCCGTGCTTCTGGCTGCGATGGGGCTGTGTGATGGCCGGGTGAAGCCTCCCCATTTCAAAGCAGCCCCAAGCTCCTCTCCTTGTGAGAGGAGCAGAGTGGGGAAATACTGCGGCACTCCCCAAAAATGTCCTGAAAACTCTCAGGTTACTAAAGGCAGAGCTTAAACCCTATTCTTACCGAGTTTCCTGGTTATGATCCCTCTAGTCACGCTGGTGGTGTGTGAGAGGAAGCAGGACAGTGGTATTGATTGCACAGCTGCTCTCGGCAGCCTCAGGCTGACCCCGGGCCACTGTGCCACGCCGTGCTCCCTGTTCCCATCCCCACAGCCGTCCTGGCCTCTTCAGCTCCTAAGCAGTGCTGGTGCTGTTATTGGCTCTGGGTGCCCACCAGCGCCAGCACCACCTGGAGCCCTCAGCACTGCCCCTTTCTTGCAATGGTCTGCTAGCAACAGGGAGGACCTAACCCACAGGTCCTCAGATGGGTGCTTTTAGCCCCTTGCTCCAGCTGGGGAGAAGGAACCTGCTGTGATGGTGCACCTCAGGAGAAGTCCCAGAGGTTCACAGGTCCAAGAATGTACATAGTTTGGGCTGGAAGGGTGGCTGCTGCCTCCACTCCTGCTGTTGGATAAGATCTTCACTGCTGTCCCCCGTGACAAGAAGCTAATTAAAGCTGGAGGCAGCTTGGGAATCCAAAGTACTGGCAATGATAAAAGTTTGTCCAACAGGAAAGGATATCTACATCAAAAGGACAGCTACAGACTACAAAGGACCGACACTTGGGTTCTTTTATGGCTGCAAGGCCATTTGCCTTTGCCTCTGCCTAAAACCTAGGGAAAGCTCAAACAGGACATTATTTTGTGGAAAGGAAAAGCTTTGTTTCCGTTTGAGATCGTGTAGGACCTGCTGTAAGGTGTGCTGTGTGCTCTGTCACACGTTTTGTTTGTTTGAGAGCTGGTGAAATAACCCTGAGAAGCCCATTAGTGAGTGGGAGTAGGACTGTGCAGCCTCTGAACGTGGCAGCACAGCACTTGCAGTGCTGGGTGTTTGCTGGGAGCTCAGCGGCAGCGGTGCTAAGTCACTTTGTCAGATGTTTGGAAGAGGAAAGGAGTTATCCTGGGCTGTGAG